GTTTGTAGGTTATAAACTGCCCCCAAATGCCCTGGTACGGCCGAGAGTGGGGAGAGTCCGTTCTCCTTCTCGAAATGCTCTCACATGGCCACGCCTATATAGCCTCTGCCAGGGAAGCCCTACTCACTGCCTTCTCGTGGCGGGTGTGTTGTTCACGAAAATGAGAGGACGAAAAGCGAATGTCCGGCGCTTTAACCGGATTCCAAACCAATGGTGCACATGGGCTCCAGTATCCTGCGGGAACAAATGGCTTATGGACCAATTGTTGGTCACCGGCTTCCATGGGACTGCATCTCCTTAGGATGCTCCACTGCCTTGTGGATCAGACCTTTAGGTCGAAGGCTCGGGGTGTGGCCCCCTAAGAAAACCACCTGCTTCGGTTTGGGCACCCGGGCAGTATCACAGCCCTCACACATATCGAATGAGATTTGTGTGGCGCATATGTATTTGGTGCCTCTTTGTACCAATATCTATGTGTGGAAATAAATAAACCTTATCTCGTCTGAACACCTGGGTAGTATCACTAGATGTCATCACACAATAAATAAATGTGTAGCTCAAAACCTTGAATACGTAAACCTGTGCATGATTGATGAGTAGTCACATGAAAACCATCCGTAGAGAACTAATAAAGTATATAAGTTTATTGAGTCCTTTTCATTTGTATTCATTCTTTGCTCTATATTTTGGCTTTTTTTATCTTTCCGTAGTTGTCAAATCGTATCTTTTATACTTAGCTTTACTATTAGATAATGGTTATAGGAAATGGGTAGGAAACTCTCAGTCCTACAAGAGGTCAACCGAGACCTGAATAGTTCGGTAATAACATCTGAGACTGCGAGGCTGGATGACCCTTGTTCGAATTCACCAGTGAGCATTAGTCTCCTTAAGATTACAGGTACGCTTTGCCCCTGAGGACATCCTTTTGACTACACCAAACCATCTAACATAAAAAAGTGCACGCGATTTCGAGTTATTTAAACTAGTACCGACACTGTAACTTAGTCGGTAGAATAGGACTAGATAAAAATGACAGTATTCACTACTCAGTGATCAGTCAATGTATACTTAGCTTTCTACCACAGTGATAAACCTTATTAATTTCTCGTTTCGTCTGCTTTTCATCATTTTAAACTCATTCCTCTCACTTTGCTGACGTAAGACACAATCATTTGAGTCGATACATATTTACATCAGATTTTACATTTCGTGTGATTGATTTGCACATTATTCTTTAGTGTATATTTCACATGGATAGTTAGTGCATAAATATGTCCTTTTTCATTTAGTGTCCTGTTTTATTTCATGTTGATCTATAACGAAAGGGAATATCTAACCGTGTGGTAACAACTACTTAATCGGTTAGTAAAATATTTGAATATTAGAAGTTCTTTCATTTAGTTATGGTAATCAACAAAAGATAATATTTGTCATTGAAATGATAATTTCACACTTTCACAACAATAGAATAGAGTATTTTGTATTTACTTAAACGTTAGATTTTACAGTTTCACTGCATTAGTTCATCGAAATTTTTATAAAGGTTTAATGTAGATGATATTATCTCACATGCTGTTGGCGCCCTCAATTTACATATTATTATTGATAGTAGTAGTGGCAGTCGTAATGGTAGTTCACATGGTTACTTCATTTTTAAGCTCCAGACATATCTTTCGTATTTTATAACATTGAAAAAGAAAATACTTATCGATCAATGGTTTTCTTTCATATTTATTTGTATTCACTACTCTCAGCAATCTTCATACTACTTAATTATTGACTGTTTACAAACGGTTAATTAATAATAAATCCAATCACTATGATTCTGTCAGTAGATACATCTGCATTGCAAAATAATTTTTTAATCAAATTTCTTTCTTCATGTCATCATGTTGTGTGGTAATGTTTTTTTGTCCGTCGGATATTTAACAAATTCATTTCAATATGCGAATGAATTCCCTTGTATGACAGTTGACCTCGTCAATTATAATGTTGTTCTAGAAGTGTAGTATGCGTGTAGTACCTTTGGTTTCAAAGTAAACTACAATTTATATAATTAATCATTCTTATTTAGAAAGTGTTGTATGTAGATTAATGGGAATACGCCTAGTTAATCTTATAATGTTATGTAACATGTAAACAGTGTTCAATGAAACCAACATGCTGTTTGTGTAACCTTTGGCCTAGTAACTTAATGCAACTAATGAACAAGTTACTGTTCCAAACTTTATTAACTGACTTTAACCAAGATACAAAACCAGCAAATAAGTAGCATCGTAATAGTGGTAGTTAGTTTTCATAAATTTTTATGCTGATTAGTGAGTGAGTGTGAATTATGTATTCAATTGACGAGTAATAATAAGTTGAATGAAAAGTCGTGATGTTAATATATATGGCTATCACTCTAAATTACATTATAATTTATGAATATGTATGAATATATTGAACATTTTCGGTGCCATTCATGTGTTTGAGGTAATTTCCAGTGTAGATAACATTTGTTTCTCCTTCATTCCCATTTCCCCGCTCAAAGAAGGGAACAGAAATGTAGAAGATAAGGTGTTTCTTTGAGTTAGTTAATAGGATGTTTGTTAAGCAATTGCTGCTATACTCCTATATAAACAGATGAAAAGTCTTGTTTATCACATCGTCTATTCTCTCTACCAAAGGGGGATAGGGCTACATGTATGCTTAGTTGCACAGTATCTGTGATAACAGGCTATAATTTCTTAAAAAAGAACAATAATACCATGTTAGGGATGAATATATATTCAACATGTAAGTCGCTTTTTGTATTTAAAGAATAAAATAAGTGTTTTATTTATTACTAAATTTCTATTAAACAAAAACTATTCTGTTCAATGTTCCAATTTTCATCAGTTGTTATCTCTCACTTCTTGTTTGTCTTTCATCTATTCCATCAAAATATTTAAAAATTTGACATGATCTATATACATATGAATTTCTCGGTAATGCTGATGATAAGAGATAACAACTGTACTACTTATACCACACATGTTCCTCCCTGTCCACAATGCCTGCGATACAATAAGTCTAAGTGGTATATTAATCTTTTTGGTATGTTGTTTAGTTTAACTACTTCTTTCAATAAATACTTTCTGCTTTTTCCTTGTTTTTCAAGTTCTTGACTTTCCTTTGTATTGGAACACTGATATTCAATTGTCTGATTGTAGAGATGTGTGTGTGCATGCGCTCAGAGTAAATGAAACATTTTTGTCCCCAAAAGAAATCATAATCATGGCTGGCAACAGTTCGTCTATTTTTATATTAGTTCACTTTAATTTTTCCTGTCTATAAATCTTGGAATGTGTACAGTTATGTGGTGTAGTTGTGTTCAATAACTCTAATCACCGTGCCTAAACGTGTCTATAGTTTTCGAATTCACTAAGTGTATGCATACATTTGAAAGCATTTTAATTTTCCCATTGAATTTGTTAGAATTAGAAATAAATAAGTTTCAACATTGTTAGATGCTTTTCAACATCTGAAGTATTTACCTATTCATACAACCCGTAAAAATTATTTTTTGTGCTTTTTTCTTGTAGTAAATGTCATAGGTTTAGTACATATAAACTTAATGTTGGATCAGATCGATTTATGATTCGTAAGATTTGATCCCGATAAATGAAAGCTTTAATTATTGTTTATCATCACACCTTTTCACTACCTTAGTGGACGCTATTCACAAGATTGTTTGTAATTAGTGTGTAGCGGAAAGTGACGTCGAAGTTACTACAATTATTAGACGAAGTGAAGAGCTTCAGCCCATTGAAAGCACGGCGTTGGCAGAAGAGAATACAGTTCAGATCGAAGAGCACATTGAAAGATACAAATGGGATATCGTAGGCTATGTATAATGTATTACATGAGTACTTTGTAACTTCTCGCAATACATACATTCACCTTACATATTGTCGTACTTTACACTACTATGTCCACTCCGTTAATACCTCCATCAAAAGCTTAACTTTCTATTACAGTTTACTCCAAGTTTTGTTTTCACCAATCGTTGACAAATGTTTTCATCGTACTTTTAGTCTCTACAACAATGATTATGAACATATTTCACCAAATTTTGATAATTAATAACTTTATTCTTGTCTAGTCAGCATCATGCGAAACATAAATGAATTCTCAACGCTTTTTGGATAATTAATTTTAATGGATTTCATAGTTTACATCCTTGATTAACTTTAGTTAAGTAACCATTGAAGATCAGGGAGCCTTGAATAGTTGTTTAATCCCAGTATGAAACTCCTCAGAAGTGCACATCCATGATCTAAGATAAGGTTGAATCCAGGATCCTCAAGTGTCATATCCAGTAAATAACCTTCAATCACTGAGTAGGCGTTCAATGTTTGGTATGTTTAGTTTCAATCAATACTTTTTTATTAGTTATTGAGGTGAGGCAACTGTGTCATCCTAAATTATTTGCATATATTTTTTGGTTCTTAACAATAATATTTATTGGTATTTTTAATTTGGATGACTTCATTATTTCAAATAGGTATTGCGTAAAATGAACATGATCTGCAACCCAGACTAATATCGATTCTTACTCTATATTGAAGGTAGCCTATTTCTGGAACTTATTGAACTCGTGATCTCGTTTCGACTTTTTTTCTCCGCTCGTCTCAATATTACTTACTTACTTACGCCTGTTACTCCCAATCGAGCATAGGGCGCCGTATCAATATACTGATATATATATATCCCACACTGTATTGATTTCATCAATCATTCTATTTGTGAATGACTTATTTTACAAAAAGAAAGATTATTTTCAGAATATATTGTTTAACAGTAAAATTTTCAAATTGTGGTCTATCGCTATCAAGTACAGGTGATGATAAACCAACCACTTGTTACGAATAATCCCAGTTGATGTTTCATTTTATCCCAAAGAATAAATGTGTTCAAGTTATTATGGAACTATTTAATATCTCCAGTCTTTTCTTCTTTCTCTTTCTCGTTTGTAGAATGCATTTGTTCCAATGTTTATCATTAAATATCAACGAGAGGATAACACGAAATGGTATGAATATCGAATGAGAAATGGAAGCAAGGTAAATAAAAGATAAAAGCAACTAGGATAAAATTTCTAACGTATAATTTCCCCGTAATCAATTTCCTAATTTAAAAAACCTGTTATATGCTTCTTTTGAGTTTAAAAAACTTCATGATACATGTTATTATGTATTTTTCATGAAATTATTAGTAATTACTAGCAAACAGCAGTGTTAGTTAATCATGGGTAGTTCTTTTCATTTCATGCCACCATTAGGAACGTGGAAGCATTGAACGGCCATTTCGTCCTAGCATGGTACTCGTCAGCAGTGCGAACCCACGATCCTGCACATGGGACTTGGAAATAGGACCTTTCAATTCGCACGCGGACGCTTAACGTTTATACCACTGACCAGGCATCCAACGATGTTAATATCTAACCTCAATCAATCCACAGTATTACGTGACCATCTTCCACTGTCTTCAGTGGGTGATTACCTCACACTCGACACGTTTAAATGACACTAGTCACAGCTTCTCACTAGAACTCCGAGAATTACCTCTCGAAGCTAGTCACTAATGAGCACATAATTATTATCAGTATAGGTTTGTGGAAATTGTTGAGTTTTATTGAGACCATTAACTGACCAATGTTAGACCATCATTGAGTAGTTCCATACTGTGACGAAACGGCCATCCAGTGCTTCTCGATTTTCAATAGCAGTTTAACATTTATTAATTCATGATCGCAGTGAAACTCAACAATCTTCACGACCCTATATTGTTGAACTTTTTCATTTTGATTGACTTTTTAATGCATTTCATATTTAATTGTCTGTCTTATTGTATTCTTCACAGATCCAATTTCCTGTTTTCCTTTTCATTTCAAGTCATATTTGTCAATAACATCGTACATTGATTTATATTGAATAGTATCAATAGTGTTGCATGTATTATGTCAAATGAATTTAGACAAGAGTAGTGGTTGTTGTTGTAGTACGATAACTACTTAACAATCAATAAGTCATTGACCTTATAATTTACTTATTTTTACATGTCTAACAACTACAATTGAACATCTTATTGTCCGACGTGTGTATACAGAATATCTATTGATTACTCAAAATGTAAAGATAAGTAGTAGTTAGCTTCTCATTCTTTTTTATTGTTCTACCTAACTGTCTCCATCAACACCTTTCATAGATAGATATTTTATTTATTTATAGAGTGAAGAAAAATATGATGAACTTATGAACGAGTTGAATTAAAATTGTAAAAATAAATTCTCTGCTTGTTATTAACTGAGTAGTAACAATAGCAGTAGTAGTATTCATTTAAGAATGAAGTTGGTTTTTTTTCTTCTACAATTATACTCATAAATGGTTTATCTATATGTATGTGTACAATGATAGGTCATTTAATTAATAATAAGTTTAACAATTACTGTAAACGTGACTTTACTAAACAAGATACATTGAATTATAATAAATAATTAGTAAATTATAAATAATCAAATATTCTTCTTGATGATTACATCATTACATTTAAATTATACGTGTTTTAATAACTTCAAATGTGTTTATAGTTTATTAATGTGAAAAGTGATAATTCAGAAGAGTTGATTTTTACAAAAAATTAAATTATCTTTTTATGAATAGAAGAGAGAGTTTTAGTATTTATATGATTGATGAATATGGTTATAGTTTTTATTAGATTGGAATTGTTCATAATATTGTCAATGTTTAATAAGTATGCTGTATCTAACATCTTCAACTAGTTTCCTGATGTTTTAGTGAGTGATTTCTGCGGATTAAAATGTAATCTTCACTAAATATTTTATTTTGATCCTTAACTTTTTCCATATTGATGTTTTTTTCATCTGCTTGCTGAAAAGTCCCGTATTAGAATGGAACAACTTTTCAATGCTTGATAATTTTCAGTGGTTGTTTAGATACAGGTAGTCCGTGATGGAATCTGTTTTTCATACTTAGCTTCACATTAAAATGGATATTGCTATTCCACTTCATAACCCACTTCTTACTTTGTTCATTTTCTCTCGGACTGTGTTAATATAAGGTATGATAACTCATATCGTGACATATTTGTTACCCGATCCTACTTTCTACTTCTCTGACCGACTAATTTACCGGGTTAATAGTAGAGTTGGAGTTCGTTAAAGAACAATCATACATCTATCTCAACGTAGTGCTACAGGATGTCGAGTCACGTAGACTAGTAGCCACATTCCACGTTGACCGATGGGATTCGACCATCATCAAAGAAAAGCTTGACATACATGACATTGATCACTATTCAGTGATCGAATCAGTTGTAAACACGATCATAAATTTCTCCTGAAAGAAAAAGACTTTCATTTCGCACTTGTTTTTTTTCAAAAGAAAAATTAATAAATCTAACTGTAGTCGAATAGACTAGGTAGTTGGGACTCACTGAAATAGTTTTTTTAAATGTTTTAATCATTTTATGGATTACATTCAGTCGTTTGAAGGCAATCTTCTTTTCTTATGAGAATATAATATAATTTTATTATTACTTCTTGTTCTTTAGTAATTTCACTTTTTTAACGCTTGCGCCTAACTCGTAAACAGATCTTGTGTTATAAATAATTAATATATTTGTAATGCGTAAAAAATTAGATTTTCTGATGTTTCGTGACTCGGTGTAAGCCACTTCTTCAGAGAATTAATAACCAAATCAAAATTAATCCAAGGGTGTATTAGTTTATATCATCTCGTCTGATACAAAATTATCAACGTTACCATCGTTCATACATTAAAAAAAACAAACAAATAAGGTCATACAGTAATGTTAATCGCATCAATTTCTATTCCCAAATGCCTAATGATAACTCTTAATAGCAAATAAAAAAAATGTAATCTGGTACGTGCACAGTTTTGTATTTACATGTGATTTGACACTTCTAATTTGAATTCAGCATATGTATCAGTATAGAATATAATTGTAATGATTTGAATGAATATCAGTTTTCATATACATTGTGCGCCGAAATATATGCACATGAACATACACCCATGCATGCACGCATTCATACATACATAAACATGACTACCAAGCAAGAGAAGTATATATTGTGTATATACAACACCTCTATTGAATCTGTCTAAATATTTTTCCCCATTTTGTATTAATAACTTCATTTATCTTAGTTAAATCTTCATGTATATGTATTCATGTCGCCCCACAACCACACACGCACATACATTTGTTAGTGTGCATTGTAGAGTTACGAAGGTGTACATTTATATATGTATAAATTATAAGTAATTTTGACAGAAACGATTAATTTACGATTTCATGATGCTGAACAACAGCTCTCCTTCCCTCCCTCCCTCCATTTCACTTTTGACTTGGTTGACCGTTTTAATGAACTCCATCAAGGAACAGATAGTTTGTGTTGCTAAAATAAAGCAATAACAACAACGTCAACCCAACTCATAAATCATAATATGGCCTAATTTAAAGAAGAATGGGAGATAAAAAAATATTAAGACCGAATAATCGTTTTGTCTTATGGGATTGATTTTTTCTTTTTTAATATTTCTCTATCTCTCGCACACATACAAAGTCTCGATACATTCTTCTTCTTTCTATGTGTTCAATCTCTTTATTTTCATTGTATCTCTCTCTATCGTTTACCTCTTGAGGTTGCACATTGGTAAGTTTGGTGGAAACATGCAACTTTACTAAGTTGATGATAATAACTTGTATTTTTCTCATTTATGAATTATTTATTTATTTACACATTTATCTGATTTGTTTTGTCTTTTTACGAGGTATTAAAAAGAAACAAACAGGCTATTCACGTTTTGTTTTCTTTATTTCATGTTTCTTTTTGTTATGTTTTCTATTTAGTTACTTCATGCAAATCGAAATAGTCAAACAAATGTAATTCAATTAGATCCACCAATTATAGCAAAACGATTACGAATATTGCCTTATACTATGGAATCCAATCCAAAATTAATGTGCCTTCGATTGGCTATTTATGGATCTGTTTTCAATGGTCAGTGATTTGAATTATTGTTTTTTTATATATGATCGGAGTTACTTTTAATTAATTTGGTAAAGTTATGTTTACAATTCTTACTTGAACGTTTGTACTGATTGATACGAATATTAGAATGTTTGAAATGGCTGGATCGACAAATACGTTTAGGAAGTCAGTAGATTTAATTGTAATATGAACTCATGTACTTTCTAATAGGATATTTATGTACTTAGTTTTATGTGTTGTACTATGTGTAATACTGCTCACCTGACGAGAACAAAATAGATGTTGACAATATGAAAGCTGATTGTTTTAACTGCCACTGTGTATTTACATGCTTAGGCAGCCAACTAATATCAATAGTTCTCATATAAACATAGTGTTTTACAGCTGTTTTGTTTCTGGTATTGTTAAATTCCCTCAACTAGATGGTTCGTGTAGAAATGAGATTATTAGTTATTCCACAAGCACTAAATCACTTCCGCCTGTTAGCTTTAGTTATCTTCGTGGGCTTCTTCATCTTCATTTATCCGTCTGTTGAAGTTGACTCTCTTGTTCAGTTGACCTCTAACCATATAATCGATTGACTTTTATCGTATGAGTTGATACGAGTTCATTTCGATGAATAATTTGGTTCCCGATTATCTTGAATACCATGCACCTAGAAAGCCTCTGGGATTCTTAGAATTTCCTTAATACAGAATTTTAGCGTTTTCCCAGTTGAATTTATGTCTGTGGTTGCCCACATGCATTGATATCTGTGATAATATAGTGTTGTTTTACTGAAAGTCTTTGTATACCGATAGGTTAGAGGTTATGAAGTTGTCTACTGTGTATACTGTAGTGTTTATCACAGTCGAATACTTAAGATGCTGATTTCTGCATAAATTAGGCACTGTCTAGAACAACAGTGACAGCTCTGCAATCAAACCATTTTGCTCAGGCAACACAACAACTCCAAAAGCATTTATCTCCATAGTACTTGGTAAGTAAATTTTACTATTATATTCTATTCACCCGTATACTAACTGTTCCACGTTATATGTACAGAGTAATATTATTACGCAGTTAAAGCTGTTTCACTTATTCAAACAAGTTCACACGACTTTGTCTAATTTAGATAGATCGGTTCGTGATTTCAAAAGATTTAGTTTGTTATAGATGAAAATATTGACCATAAAACATTCCAACAATCTTTCACTTCTGTTCATCACATTATATATATATATATAATTTCTAGTATTGTCATAATTATTATTCATTGATATAATTATACCGTCACTAATTATTTGAACAGTGATCGTCTTATCAGCATCGTCAACACATCATTTTGTAAATTTGTTGTCTATCATTTGATTTTCACCCTATCCTATAAGGAATTTATCATTGATACTATTATTACGAATATTATTATAGTATCGACTGAATTGGTGATCAGTAGTTGTATTGTGTATATGATGATGATGTCTGTCTGTATGTATGTATGGTATGAAGATGTTTGTATTAAAATGAACATTGGCCCATCGTGTCACTTTGTATTGTATGTGTTTACCCCACAACTCAAGTTCTAATTAAATAATCATTTCTATGTGTAACCATCATAATTTTGACATGTTTGACAAATTATTTATTTATTTTTCTGATTTACAATACAACCAGGTCTGTTGTGAGATAGGAACTCACTGAGGACAATGGTGTACGGTAGCGCAACTTCGTGGATTGGTTGAAGTTAGACATTAACACCGTTGGATGCCGGCTCAGTGGTCTAATGGTTAAGTGCTCGCGCGCGAAGCCAGTAGGTCCTGGGTTCGAGCCCCGGGTGGTGCGGGGTCGTGGATGCGCACTGCTGAGGAGTCCCATACTAGGACGAAACGGCCGTCCAGTGCTTCCAGGTTTTCAATGGTGGTCTAGCTTCAACTGACTCATGATTTCAACTTGACAAATAGTGTATATTGTTTAGCGTAAATAAAACTATTATATATTACTTAAATTTAATGGGTGGACAATAATATTTTGAACATTCTTAACTACTTTTTATTCTTTTCTCAAAACTATAAAATACACACAATGTACAACGTCTACTCTTCATGTATTGTCATTTTCCATCCGTATACTTAGGTATTAATTGTGTATGGTTTATTTATTCTCTCACAAAGTAGAGAGATTTTGTTTCAGTTGTCAGTCAGTTATATTATTACGTTAGAATTTTGAATACCATCATTTACTTATTGTTGAAGCTGATGGTATATATATATATATATATATATATATATATATATAATATTATGTATAAAACCAGTGTTTTGGAAAGTCTCAATAATTCACAATACTAGTATAGAGGGTGTATGTGGAGATTGCTGAATTTGTAGTCTTACATCACGTAGTGACTTTGGTTGGACAATAATTGAGAACCTCAAGGCATTGAACAGTTGTTTCGTTCGCACCAGAGACTTTCAAGCCACACAGAGAGAGAGCTCGAACTTCAGACCTCTGAGTTGGTATTTATTGGTTTAGATTTCTAATTTCAGTCATTTCACAAGCCATAAAGTATTGTCAACGGTTAGTTTATGATATTTGTTTCAAAGACAACAGTTATCGATAGTGATCAAGTAGATTTCAACAGAAGCCTGTAATTTTACATCTTCACTGGGTGGCTGAAAGTACTTGATTTATAAGTTGCAGGTTATTCATTCAACTTTATAAAGTTGATTTTCTGAACTCACTTTCAGTGATCAATATACTTGTTAGCTTCAGTTCACTTACCTATTTACTTATGCTAATGTGAAATAAGCAATTATCCCTCTTTTTATTCTCTATATCCATAACTCTAACTAATAGGTCTAGTCTACTTCATTCTTAAACATAACTTTCATTTACACTTAAACAGTTAGGTGAGTAATGAATTAGTCTTTTAGCTAGTTATTTTTAGATGATCATATTTGAGAAGTTATTGTAACAAAATATCACTATGCGAAGGGATATTTTCGTCTAGAATTATTTACACTGGTTATTTTGATTTCGTCAGTTTGAAACCAACATCAACCAAAATGTTCTGTTCTATCGGTATTCTTGATATTTGAAGTAGTTTGCATAACTAAACTAATACCAATCAGATAGTTGTTAGAAATTAGGAATTATTGAATGACCCTGTTATCAACTACATACCTATGATATTTATTATGCTTTATTCCATATTGAATTACACATTAACCAAGAGTTAAATTGTTTATCATGGAACCGAAAGAATGTAGTTTTGTAAAAGAGCAATTCTTCAGTGATCTGAAATTGTAATCATTAATAAACTAAGATCAATGTGTTACGAATATCCCCTGGACAATGTATTATGCATTGACTATAAATACTTTAGTTCTCTATTTCTGTCCGTTTGTTGGGAAACACCAAATTTAATCAATGTTTCTAGGTTTCAATATCTTACTTTTCTAAAGAAAAATTTACTATCCATAAAGCTTTTGAAATAATTTTCCTTAAAAAATCTATTGATAGTAATTATCCGAATCCATTGCCTAGAAATTACTTTTGACAACCAAGTGTATGTTGTGACAATATTTAGTCATTGTGGAATGATAAATAATGCAATCAGTTAATGGTGTAACCATGTGAGAATGCGTATGTTATAGGCTTTCACTACTCCCTTGTAAAGCATACATGTAATATTTAATAACTTTCTTGTGCATACTGCAACACAATTTTTTTCTGAATATACAATTATACAGAGTAGAAAATTGATTAGAAAGACGATTAGTTCAATAGCATGATCGTCATTTCAAGTTAGAATATCTATTTTCATTCATATTAATTTCTATAGTTAAATATAATGTGTCTTTTGATTTAATGATGAATGTGTATCATAATCTTCTAATACACACTTTTACCTTACTTAGATTAAAAGTAATCTCAACACAGACTGAAATGTAATGCTAAACAGTTGTTTGTATTGATCTGTTCACATATCTTCCCATTAACTTATTTCTTATTTACATTTTTCGTACTTCTTTGTCTTTAATAATAATAATAAATCCATCAAGATTTCCATTTCATATAATAGTAAAATGCTAACTTCATCAAATTGTACTTTAAAATAACTTGACAATGTCATTCATTCACAATGTTTACTACTAACCCAGGAACAATTTATTTCTTCTAGAAATCAGAATTCAATCATTTTTATCATATCTGTTTTCATTTTATTCACTAATGAGTTGCTGAATTTATTATTATTGTTACTTTTTTGTCGAATAAAATAGATGGAGTTGTTGAATATTCTATTCCCGAAGGAGATGTCTATAGACTTGATCCTCGTGGTGATTTTGTTTTAAACGATACCAATTATGATGGTGTATTAATCTCTCCTGAATCGTCTTTAATGACTACCAACACTAAGGAACTAGATAACATGGATAAACAACAACGTACCGCTTATCTTACTGGCGGTCTTGGTTTATTAATGGACAAACAATATTTTGAGGGCAGTTTACCTGAACAAATAGACAGTGGCAGTAGTAGTCCTGTTGTTGGCTGGTTTCGACGAAAACCTACTACCAATCCATCTGGTCGTATTACAATGTTGTTTAAATTTGATCAAGGTTAGTTGATATTTCTGTATAACGATGTTTTATGGTTTCGTAGTAGTATTATCTAATCCAGGTGGATGAGTAATATTTTGAGCTGAAAATTATCTTTTTTTTCTCATGTACTACTATGCAAAAAACTGTTATCTATTTCGAGTATTTCCTTATTCTTACCAGCAATTTGACGTTTTTCCAACAAATTTAGGAGGTTTGCGAAGACTTTTTAAAAATGTAACATAACGATCGCTTCCATCATGAACAAAAATCAGTTGGGGTTTTGTACCAAATTTATTGAATTAAAATATCAAGTGTTGAGCACATATTTATAATAATACTCCGAGATTTCACATCTCTATTACTAACAATCAGTAATTACTGTGAATAAGAGTATCGTAGTTATCGTGGAACTTGTAAATCCCATATGTTCAATTTTGTGTGTTCAGTTGTGTATTTAGTCAACTGGTAATGAGTTCAAAACACTATAAAATAGTTTCCCAACTATTTTTTGGTTTGTCATTGGATTCTCCAATTATAATGCTATTTCACTAGGAAAAATGCTTTAAATCTTCAAAGTACCTTTATCAATGAAAATAAGTTCAATAATTTGCATGTAATCAGTCAAGGTTACATTTAATAAAAGTATGTATAATAAGTTTATGTAAATGTCAAATAATATATATTATATCATTGTATGATACTTTTACTCTTAAATAGCTTTGTTAAATCCAAAGGACATATTTTTTTGAATCGTTTTATAATTCTTTTCTTACTTATCATAAACATATATCTGACCGAAATAAATATTATTTATTTTGACATTCTAATAGAGCGATAAAGTACAAAGATATTATCTCTTAATTAAGTATGTGTAACATACATTACCCATGTAATAACTTTAAGAAATATTTAGCGGTAAGGGTTTGTAGAGATAGTTACATTTCATACTTCACATTTCGAACTGAATTTAGATAAAGGAAACCGTTGAAAACCAGGAAGGACTGGGAAACTGTTTCATCTTAGTATAGAGTCTTCTTAAATAGGCTCATCGACAATTCTTCCTGGAGTCAGACCCATAGCATTCATGTATCGCAGTAAAATAACTATCTGATTCTTTCTTAGTTTTCGTTAGATGTCCGACTAAGATAAGTTCGTAACATGGATTATAAGATGTTCGTTTAACGGTTTAATACTTTAAAATTAACTTTTTTTTCCGGAATTTTGTAGTATAGACATATTATAAATCCAGAATCTTGATTACTAAGTTGCATATATGAGATAGAAATTTTTTTTCAGGTAAATCATAAAACAAATTTTGATTAGAATAATAACTCGACAACCATTTTACTCAGATACTGTGTTTGGGTAATTTTCAATCTTTTGAATGTACACATTTTGTCCACTACAACCTTAGTCTGACCTTAAATGAAAACATCTGTCTACTTTTCTTAGAAATTTACTCAATTCAGGGTTTTTGTGAGCTTATCTCATTGTTTATATTTAACAAATGCATAACGCTGCTTTAATGAAAAGTGGTTTCCATTACTTAGAAATCGTAAATTTAATGTTTTGCATTTTATTAGTTAGTTGGAGATTTTTCTGAATACAGTCTGACTCAAAAAATATTCAAGATCTCTGCCAACTTCTTATATTTTTCTGGTTTAAACCTAATGTTAAATTGATTACTGCTGACAGTGTGATATCAGAAATTCAGATACGAGGTCATATGCGAGGATTTATTTCAGACACTATCACTAAGTAACAGATTAAATTCAAAGACTGCAGAAAAAATGTGCATATTCAATTTACATGTTGGACAAAAATAAAGTTCATTATTCGAGCGTTCAGTTAAACGTTCAAGAGTATATAAACTAAGGTGTTACTACAAATTAGTTCAACTAGTTTATATAACTTAATAACTGTTCATCATGTAGCAGCATGTTCACAGCATGTAAACTGAGGCTGCTACTAGTTCAAACAGTGAAACAACACTACTATTACTCTCCATAAGCAAAAGCTTTTACCCAATAGTTAAAAATCCCTTAACTTCATATCGTAAATAAATATTCAAGAAAGACTATAGGAACTGTCAATAATTTAGTCTTTTTTTTCAATTTATTCTTGTCAGTTATTATTTAGAACTTCATTGATTAGTTTACAATAGGACGACCAATAATGGATCAATGTATGGTTTATCCTTTATTTGTATTCCCTAGGTTTAATTACAAAATAACATTTAACATTTAACAGCTAGTTCTTGTGACATTCTGCGTGTAAATATATCAAGTGAATATATTTTTTCCCATATGTAATTACAGCTTTTCTTGGCTTATGTTGTCCCTTGCCTCATGAATATTCATTTCCCTCTCTCTTTGTATCCTGTACTGTAACTGTTTTAGTAATTATGGATTAGACTGTAATTTATAACCTTTTTTTGTAAACTATATAGATGATGAACTGGTAGATGTGTCATGTATGTGTGTATGTTTAATAATTTTATCCTGAGATTTTCTCGAAATTAGATTATTATTATTATTATCTTTGTTGGATGGTTTTTTCTGCATTGAAATTCCAAATCAGTACTCTATCTACATGTTAAAAAATATTTCTTAAATGTTAATTTCAATATTTGCAAGTTTTTGCCTGCTTTCTTAATTAGTAATTAGGAGTGGGAAATAAATTTTTGAATATAGTCTGATATGTGCAAATTAAATATGAAGTTGAAATAAATAGATGCTAGGTGAATTACGTTTTACTTCTAGAAAATCCTTAACAGCTGTTTGGGTTTGTTACTAGGCTTTTCAATCTGGAGCACTGACATTCGATTCTCAGTCATTAAGTCGTAGGTTTGACCCACTATGCACTTAGTTCGGTTTAGGCAACTGGATAATATCGCTAGTCCCTCACATTTAGAGTACTGTTTGAAGTCAAGTAAATAAGTCTCTATTTGACGAGTTGGAAACAAATAGGCTTCTGATTTCTAGATCTCTTACCAGTCATATTAACGTTTAAACCTTATAGTTCAACTAAAATATCTAACTCCAATCGACTTGTCAATGCACTACAAATCATTGTATGAGGCTATAAAGAATATTTGTTTCGTTAAAATATTGACTATCTTTCATTGTATCATATTCAGTTAATTTCAAATCACTTTTTAGAAGTTTTTCGTCTTACTCTTAAAGCGTTTCTCATTAGAATTTCATTTGTGTCATCAGTGTGTAATTCACTAACTAGTCTAAATGTCAATTCGATCCTTTGAAAACATAGTCATGCTCAATAGAGATTCTTACATTTTGTTAATAACCTTTATTCCTTAATATATTCTTCATTTTACAAAAAGGATTACTTCATTTTATCCCTATACTGTCTGGAAATGGAGTTAATGAATGCCTGTGACTAGAAGCAATATCCTGTATATATCATGTGAACAACTAAAAACAGAATATGTGAAGAAACTTTGTAGTATATCGTTTATCATCATCTAACTTTATAATCTATAGGAGTATGGATTTCTCAGAAATTCCCTTATCTTTACATGTCCTCATACATATTACGCAACTATGATTGCTTATGAAGTGGATGCGCACTGCTGAGGAGTCCCATACTAGGACAAAACAGCCGTCCAGTGCTCCCAGGTTTTCTATGGTGGTCTAGCTTTAAGTGACTCACGAATTGAACTATTAAATTATTTCTAAAAAGTTGAACGAAACTTGCGTCTCTGTAAGCTTTTATTAAGAAAGGTATGTGTATATTCACATATACACTGCATTAGTGATACATGATGCATAAAGTTCCACCATTACATATGATCATAATTGTAATAATGATTATTTTTCGTGAGTTGAGACTGACAGACAGGTTTAATTTATCTTAATCAAACTCAGACAGTTCCATCACCTTGACCTGAATATTCTAGTTCCAAGGTTAACATTAAAATTATGGGCAAAGGTAAAGGGAACTGGGCGAGCATGATTAATCTTCCTTAAAATTAAGTTATCTAATCTATTTGGTATAGCTCTTTAGCCTGGAAAAACCAGTCCAAAAGTATGATTGATTGAGTAATGCTCATTTGGATGTTAACTAACTTGTGAGTCATCATCATGTAAACGGTTCGCAATTTGTCTCTTTATTGCATCATTTCATTATGGTAACCATGACTCAGTTGTTGACCAAAGAATAAACAATCTGCCATCTTTTGTTAGCCTTAAATCGTTCCAAAGATAACGATGACAAGTTTTGCTTGTAGGAATATATAAACTTCAGTTCAAACGAGGCGGATGATGTAATCTATGTTCTTTTTAAAGCATGAATAGTTTCTAGAATATTATGTAAATCTGTCTAAGGTATTCCACTTTATTTGTTTAGTTGTATGAGTATTTAGTAAGTTGACTGATATTGAATAAAAGATAGGTTGTCACTTAGAAACTTTGATAAAATTAACGAAATTTGTTTACTATGACAACACGTCAGTCACATCAATCTAGAGGTGAAGTGAAGAAGGGATTATATTGTGAACAAGATGTTCCTAAATACTATTGGAGATATGAGTATGTATTTTTACTAACAGGCTGGAGCAATAAAAACCAATTAGGAATGAAGTTCAGGACCTTCATTTGTGCAATTTCATTTATGAATAATGAAAGACGCGTACAATTACTAGCCACACTTTTGAAGTGCAGACATTCAATTACTTTTTTCCCAAGTACCTTTCCTACCTTATACGAATAAGCAGATTACGGGCTATAATCTTTCCATTATGCTCAATATTTAGTGTTTGTTACTTTACACACTTTCTCCAGCTATTTTCTCACATTACTTGCTTTGGTGAGACGTTCTAATCTTTCATGTTTTCAAAATATTGAAAATAACACGATAGACAATTTTATTTAGGTCCATTTGTAGTGTTTTCAAGTATTCAATTCCTTAAGTACTCTTTTATCTTCATCGTCTGTGGAACAGTGGCCTCATTCGTTTTCCGTTATCGAATACTAGCAATTGAATTCGGATATTCATACTGTTGCTCGAGATGCTGTATGGTGTGTTACTGGCCTTTATATAAAGTCAAAGGAACCCATGTTAAGTTTATTTAATCACGATTGATCATGATATTTAATAATGAATTTCCTCATTCTCTCCAGTCTCCATATGATTTTGAGATATCAGATCTAAGCTTGGATGGTATCATACCTTGCATAACTTGAAAATCCTATGTTCAATCCTGCACTGTTTTGTGTGTTAAGATCAGACAATTTTTCAGTGGATCTTAGTTTCCATTGATTTTCTATTTACATATGTATCCACTGAAATGAATGTTTATTTCTTTTTCTGTAAGGTTTCATCTACTATGTTATCTAAAATAAAGACATGTTGAGTAAGGCTAATACATATTTCGGGGTGTTATTTCAGCGTTATTTTAGTAACACCCAAGTATCCCTTCATTCGTGGATTGCCTGTCGTACAGCCCTTGTTAGTTAAACAATAAATTTGTGTAGGGTTTTATGAAGATAATAGAAATTTTGTAGTGATCTTAGCTAGACCAATATTGAAAACCATGGATTACTGATTAGTTGTTTCACTTTTCAGCAGTGCACATCCATGATCCTGCTACAGGAAGTTGAATTTATAATTTACATCACAGGCTGATATTATTTAGGTAATTATTGAAAATTAGGAACCTGTGATAAGCTATTTTATTCTTGTTTTTGAGGTCTACTGGGTAGCACATGTACCCACAACTCCTCTTAAGATCAAAACCCAGAACCTTCGAGTCTGAAGTCCACATAATCGTGTTTCTTCTGGTAATTTTCGGTGATGAGAATCTACTCAACTTTTAAGTAAATCTGCTATTTAGAAGAAATATTTTTGTTATTGATTTTATATTCGCGTTCAGTTTATTTCTTTGTTAATATAAATTTGCTCGTTAACATATTGAAAGTTACTTGACATATTTGAAAATAAAATAAAATTATTACAATAATATTATATCGTTGTTTTCTTTTCATATATTTACTTCCTTTACAGCTCGTAACTTTACACAAATCCGTATCCATACTTTGAATTCATTAGACTATATTGCTCTTTTTCGTCGAATCTCTGTTCAATTCAGTAATGGTGGTCATTATTTTGATCGAAATTATCCGCCGGTTGTTTTAGATATACATCGTGATATTTATAACTCTAAACCTCGTTGGGTCCCTATTGATTTAGGCTTTCGTATAGGTCGTTATTTACGGATTACACTATGGTTTGATTATGATTGGATTGTTATTTCAGAAGTTACTTTTGAATCATGTAAGTCATTCCATGTTATGCTGTTCATTTTGTTTATTTAATTGATTCTTACATTTGTTTTCTGAACTGGTTTGTGTGTATTAAATGGTTTGTAATGTATTGTTGTTTATACAAATAAGCATGTCATTATTATATGTGCATCTGTATTTTGAATGTAAACAAACCTATAAGGTCATTGATTATTCTACTAGCTGTCAAAATTATCGTTCTTAATTCATAATGGGAGGAATTAAAAAAGTACACCGGTTTACTTTAATTTTATGTTGTTAGTTCTCCATATTTCTGATCAATATCGAGGCTGTTAGTCATATTCGGAGAAATTTAAATACTTTACTTCTAATTGAAGTTTGTGATTATGATGGTGTTTAGAAGAACCATGAAAGCTCCACGACCAAAGTTCTCTATATTCTTGAAAGCTGTCAGGATATACCTAGCGTTTTGATCAATTGATGGCTTTATTTTCAATTTGATAGTATCCTCTTAGACAAGTTATCTCTGCTAGTTGATTGTCCTTTGACTGCAGTTTATATTGAGGGCAGAGTAGCACTTTTTGATCATTTAACATTTATTTATACATATAGTCATAGACCTACTCTTCTGTAGAACTTGATACATACATTGTATCTATAGACAGAGATTTCAGCGTTATTTAGTTGAGTAAACTTAAATGTATCTTAGTAAACAACACGGTTTTACAGTAATTAGTAATAATACCTATATGTTTTCCAAATTGAACCACTGATCATCGATTAACCGCTACTCTGGATAATTGGAATAAGTATTACTTAACCGAGATCATCTTTCCTCTTCTATCAACCAGATATCAATGGCTAAAAATTTGTTATCAGCTTACTTTGATACTTCAATATTACAATTTTAAAATACCTAAATTCTGATGAAAATATGTCTTGTCTGTAGGGAATCATTGATGTACGAAACAATACTGGATTCCGATACCTAGTACTCGTATTTTAAATACAGTATTCTGACTATTATTGATATTGCATTTCTTTATTTCCTTGTCTTTGAAAACATTACTACTTATTAATAGTAATTAGTAACTAGTAATTAATACTTTTAATACTGAAATAATCGATTACATGTCTCCCATTTTGTTTATTTTGGTGTAAATACTACAAAATCTCTCATAAATACTTGTTGTGTATGTTCACATGTTTATTAATGATTAATCATTTGTAACCAGGACTAATTAATGCCAAGTATCATTCGATTGTCAATTGGAAATCGTGAGAACTATTTAGAACATTTTAGCTTATATACATATACATACATATATACATGCATACACTTAAGGCAGGATACCATGTAACCTACTTATTATTTGTCAAACGACATTCTGATTTTAATATTGTTTATTAATTCGTTAATCATTCTTCTATTAAGTAATTAGTTAATTAATTAATGACATATTTTACATTGTCCGAACATATTTCGATATAAATAAAACAGTTACTTGTTCACTTCATTTCTCTCTCTCTCTCACACACACTCACACGCAAATATGGCGTCTGCACGCGTATTATCTAAATGCATTGTTTGTGATGATGAAATCCTCTCTAGAAAAGGTGGTACCTTAGTGTTTGTATGTGATTGTGAGTGAAGCAATTATATGGGATCTCCAAAAGAACAATTTTTCATTAAATGAAAACATTTTCCATCTTCTTTGTGTATATTTGTTTGTTTTATGTAATAAATTATAACTAGCTATCATATTTTACGAGTGTACTATTGATGTCCTAGTTAACCGTGTGATTTATTACTATTATTATTATAACCCTAGAATTCAGTTTATTCTTCCAGCTCATTTTTACTTTGGGTCATCTAAATTATTAAAAGATAATCTGTATAAGTGAGTGGCCAGTTTCACTCGTGTACATCTCTCTACACTATAGGGTTTCAACTTTGTTAGACTGTCTTCTTCGTTTGTTCAATAAACTTGAATGAGTACATCTAGGATCAGCTTGTGATTGGCAGATCTTATGTATATTCTACTATTTCGTTTCAAATGTATGAATTGTGATCTAGTTTTATGAATTTCTTCACAGTTGAACCCACATTCCCGTATGCGGGACTCGAACCTATGGTTTGCAGTCTCGCTTACTATCGCTTAACCTCCAGACCAGTGCTCAGTCATCCAGCAGTGTTAATTTCTAGTTTCAATCAATCCACAATATTGTGCAACCACTTTCACTGTCTTCTGTGGGTAATTGCCTCACACCCAACATGATTTAACTCCACTAGTCACGACTTCTCACCAGAACTCCGAGAATTACCGCTCGATCGGTCCATCATTTCAAAGAAATTTAACAATCTCCACACTATACTGAAAATAACATTTTTGTCAGTTTAATGGCTTGTGATCATTGAATATTATTGATATCACAAACCAGATTAAATCAAGCATCCTTTTTAGCACGAGGAAGCACTGAACATCTGTTTCGTCCTAGTGTATGGTTTGTACTGCTGAGAAGTCTTGTACTTGGAAAAACAAGCTATTCAATGCTTCCTGTTTTTTAATAAATGTCCCACTTTGATCAGTTTCGTGATATCAATAACCGCTTCAATACTGCCATGGATAGCTTTCTTTATGTGCGATGCAGTTTAAAATTGCTTTACATCGATGTTGAAATTATGTATTAAACCGAATTTATCGAGTTTATGTTTACTCTACCTACGTGTGATAGCAACTCTGATGTCATTCAAATAATAGATAGTTTTTCCGGATAGAATTTGAAATGCTGAACAATATATCTCTACGTATTACTAAATAAAATTAACCTTATTATTAGAGTTATTCAAATTTTTATGTTAGTGTCCTGTGTTTATTGTTATTTTATCTGTCAAAATGTAGGAATATGGATGTATAGATTCTGGTTACCTGCTTCATTGTAGTTTTTTTTGAAAACAAAACGTTGTCACTTACTATATTTTGAATTTAGAATTCACGTTTTCTCCCGGATATACCTGAATCCAATGTTGATGTTCCTATTTGGAATCATACGAAGTACCTTTCACTTCAAACACCCAAAATATCCCGTGATTATATGACTTTGTAATTTACCGTAGATGGTGAAATTTTTATTTTTATTTTTTCAATTAAAGAAACTTAGAGTTAACTGTCATCTTGTAATGTTCATATTATCCACTTCTAATCTATTTGTATCTGCGTCATTGCTGTATTGAGTGTATAATGGATACAGTGGTCGGTTTTCATTTTTTTAAAATGTTAGTTAACGGATATTTTCTTATGCAAATCAATTCCAGCATTGACATGCTCCTATAAATTAGTGGTTGCAACCAATATGTTTCTCTCTTTAAAAAGAACCAAATACAAATGAGAATGGTTGACTTGCCTAGTTTATCCTCTACCGCTTCACCATGTAAGCATACACATGAATGCGGTGGCACATATGTCTTGATTATCGACAGCAAATATGGATATCAAGGTTTGAACTAGTTTTAACTTAGTTCTTTTATATCCGGAAACGATAGTCACCACAAATGACAATTTGTGTTTTGTGAAATTTAAGCAAAAAGCATTTTCTTGTCATTATCTGGAAAAAAAAGATTAATCATATCAACATTTACTTGTATATTGATAAGATGGTTATAAAAAGCCGTTTGTAATCAGAAAATATTAACTTGTCATATTATCCTTCACTTAGTTCGTTACATTTAGAGTCACTGACTACCAGCTTCATTAGTAGTCATTATTAAAAGTTTATTATTATTATGAACCGGCTTTCCGAGAACTGTAACGGAGCCTCCAGAGGCCCTAAAGGAGACGAAGAGTCCTAGCCAACCAGAGCATGATGGAGCTTCTAGAATATCAACGTGGCGTGCTACTATTGGTCAGTAGCATAATATATCTTTTAGCGGATTGGCCAAAATATGATGTTGATTTCACAAATGTTAACATCTATAAATACCCGTGTTTTTCTGTACAACAATGAACCTTTGGAGTGAAGTGTTTTTCACTTATTTTGCGCCTTTTCTCTCGAGTTCAGGTCGCTGCATAGTTCTAACTTGTGGATTACCAGAATAAAGCATTCAAATTAACAAGACTTATCAAATACGAGATTGATGATTTGTTACACTGCTTGTTAAGGTTAGGATTAAAATTGAGTCAGAACTAAGGTTTTGGTTAGGGTTAGGAATCAATTATTTAAAGTTCAGGATTTGGGGCGCTGTATGTGTAAGCTGATCTCAAATCCTAACTGAAAAATGTCACGGCCAAGGACCTACAACGTACTTTGACGAGTTAATTAACCATGTAAAACAAATGTATCCTAAGTTAATTCTTTTTAGTTTATAATGCATTCATTCACATTTTCTGCTTTCTCATTCTCTCAGAATTAGTTTAGAAGTCGTTAAAGTTCTGCATTATAATTAGACTTTACCCACTAAAACTCGACTATATATATACGAAATAGTCTGATTTTACCAGAACTACTTTTTTTTCATTACTACTGCTTTGAGATACATTACTGGCTCTTTTTTTTGTGGCAAATATTCTTTATTTTACATTAACAGCTATTCTAATAGGGCTTTTTTTCGCATTAAACCTACTACTGTCCAACATGGACCTATGAGTTGTTGGACGATGATGGATTGTCTTTCACTTTTCTCCATTGCTATCTATATATTTATTTTGTATGACAACAGTCACGCATACAATTACTACATTATTCTATCCTAGTTTTGGTTTCAAAAACTTGTCAAACACAGCAAAGGTTAAACGATGCATTTTCACGTAAATGTATGTATGTATTTGTATGTGTATTACCAGTATTATATGTTTATACATGATTGTTTTTTCCAAAACAAACATTGGAATTCAAGTACATTGTTTTTTTTTATATTCAGTTGTTAGACTGAATGAAATCATGTTTTTTTGTTGAAAATACGTATATCTGTATACAATATCATAGATAAGGTCACTTAATAGAATTAAAACAAATATAACTCTATTTTGTGTT